ATAACAACTTGAAAAGAAAAAGCTTGCGGAAAAGTTATATTCCCCCACCGTTCTTACAACCTTCATTTTGTTTTTTTTATAGAAAGAAATGAGAGGGTGCAGTTTGTATAGAGCCTAGGCTCTAAACAATCAAATTAGAGCATACCTTCAAATAGTATCAAAAAATATAATTTTATTGTTGAAAATATTTGTGATAGTCTTATAATATATTTTCATCTTTAGTTATAAAGTTTAAAGTTTCAAAAATAGCATAGATCGACATATCTAAGAAAACTTGAAAATCTTGAAAATTGACGATCCAAAAATGCATTACAAAATACACTATTTTCAAAACTTGAAATCCATTTTTTTTCTCATGTCTATGCATCTTGATGTCGAGATGACCAATTTGAAGATATTTGAGCATCAAAAAAAACTTCTTCTATTGAAATTTTTGAGAAAGAATCTAATTTGATTGTTTAGAGCCTCAAAAAGAATGGCAACGCATCTTTTTGGAGACATGTGGGATATTCTTTTTACTTTATTCTTTGACCCAATTTTGCCCCTTACTTTCAAGAGAGGCCGCCACTCCTATTAGGCTTGTCCCCCATTAACTTGATGCAGTAGGACACACCATTTAAAAGAAAAAGTTTATATAAAGCCTCAGCTTTATACTATAGAAATGGGGTGCTCCTTAAAAACCCATCAAAAACTATTGTTCGAATGATGGAAAGCTCGCTAATTAATCATTTTGACTTTTAGATGTTGGATATGAAAAAATAGGGACTTTGAGTATTAAAAATAGTGCATCTTGTAATATACTATTTGGACTAACAATTTCTAATATTTATTGAGTGTTTATAGATCTACTTGACTCGTGGCGTGCTGGATTGGATTTAGGTTGAATTTTGAAGCTGATGCAGCGCATGGCTTTTGTTTAAGAAAAAAATATATAAGATCTAACTTTATACTGTAGAGGTAAGGTGCACTTCAAAAATCTATTGAAAAATATTATTTTATCACTAGAATATTTTTTAATGATCGCTATAGGTGGTCCATTATTGAGATTGTTTATATCTGGAAATGGCCTATTCCCCATAAAGTTATGCTCTTCATCGGGACATCATAAGATTTTTACTATTGACAACCTTATGAAGTGGGGTGAAATTCTGCGTAATGTTTACTTACTTTGCAAACAAGATGGTGAATCTGTTGCACACTAGATGATGCATCACCTTTTTTCCTCTTGGATCTGGCACTGGTTGTTTAGCTTGGTTGGTGTTTCTATGGTAATGCTTAGTTGGTGTTTCTATGGTAATGTCGTAGAAGGTATGTGAAATGCCCTCTTAGCCCTCTCTGGCCTTTCTTCCCTAAGACAGAGAGAGTTGTTTGGGAGATTGCAGTAGGTATACTGTTGTGAGAAATCTGAAAAGAAATTAATATAAGAACATTTGAAGGTGTTGCTTTACCATGCCAAAAGGTCATTCTATTAATTCAACAGTCAATTTGGTCATGTCTTTCTGTGACTAAAGAGGGATGGGAAATTACAAAAGTGGATGTCATGGCCAATCTTTCTAGTCTTTTTTCACTCGGAGTAAGAAAGTTTCGGCCCAAGGCATTGTGGTGTGCTTCCCCTTTCGACTGCCTTAAGATTAATTTTGATGGTAGCTCATTGAGTAACCCAATTGGTTTGGCAACTTCGAATTTTCGAAAAACAATATTATTTTCGAAAACAATATTTTTTTTTGAAAGGCTAATGGGGTTGCTGATGCTTTGGCTAAAAGGGGGTGTTGGGCTTGATTATCTTATCGTTTCTTCTGATATAATTTCCTTTTAACCTTTCAATAAAGTTTTTATTGTGGAAAATGCTTACCTTCTCATAGTCTCCATTAGAAGTGCGTATATGAATAAGCAGGGGTAGTTTAGTCATTTAAGGCATAGGGGTTAACGGCGTGCAATGTAAATTACTACTTCAGTGGGGGTATACTGTAGTCCTGCGGAGTATACTCTACTTTGATTGTTTAAACCAAACAATCCCTTAAAATAAATATTTTCAATACAAATTTTTAAGATAAAGAAAACAGGGTACATTACTTCTTTCCCTATCAGTCTTAAGGGTCGCAACAGGCCGGGCCTGGATCAGGCCAGCCTTGGCCTCGTTCACCGTGGATATTGAAGAGCAAATAGATGGAAGTCATAGATATTACTATGCAAATGAAAATGTATTTTCATCATATTTATAGGGAGGCTAATACAATTGCGGATGGTCTGTGGTAGTATGGGAGTCTACATAGGGGATTTACTGATTTTCGAAGAACATTTTCTATGATTTTTTTGTTTTTTCCTGTATCTTTGTAATACTATTGAATCATTAATGAAGTAAATGTGCTATGGTAAAAAAAAGGGAAATTATTACAAATATATCTTAATTTTTGTCTATTTAGAAAAAACTAACAACTTTCATAAACCTCGCCAAAACCGCTTTTCTTCAATTTTGGGTTTTTTTTTATACCAAAATAACCTTCACGGTATTCATATTACTGTGAAGCCAATTATGTTATTATACCAAGCCAATTACGGTATTATACGGTATTTTAAGTATTGTAAAAATGACCACATATTATACCGCATTTTAACTATTATAAAAACTAACCCATGTTATACCACACTCAAAATGCAGTAAACCTTTTTCTCTTGTTCATATTTATCTCTTTCATCTCTCTAATTCTTTTTATATTTATCACTTATTTGTCTCTCTAATTCTTTTCAATATTTATCTTTTATTTTTTCTCTCTAATTTTTTTTATCTTATCTTTCTCTTTCTAAATCTTTTCACTCAATAACTCTATTCTCTCTTTACTTACCTCATCAAGTCAACAAATACGATTTCAACACGATACAAATCTGACTCTATCTAATTTCATAGGGGATAGAGTTGAAGGGGTTTTTTATAGGGGATGGTAAGGTACACATAGCTTGTTATACGAGAGAAGGAGAGTTAGAGAGAGAAAGAAGAGAATAAAAAATTAGAGAGAAAAATATGAGATAAATATTAAAAAGAATTAGAGAGATAAATTTTTTAAAAAATAGAGAGATGAAATAGATAAATATAAACAGAATGAAACAGATAAATATAAACACTAGAAAATGTTGATCGCATTTCGAGTGCCGTATAACATGGGTTAGTTTTACTGTACTTAAAATGCCGTATTACACGGGTTAGTTTGTACGGTATTTAAATGCCATATAACATGGGTTAGTTTTTACCATACTTAAAATGCCGTATAACATTTTAGTTTTTACAGTATTTAAGTACTGTAATTGTGTTTCACGGTAATACAACTGTCGTAGAGGTTATTTTGGTAAAAAAAAAAGTCCAAAATTAAAGACAAAGGTGGTATTTAAGTACCGTAATTGTGCTTTACGGTAATACGACTGCCGTAAAGGTTATTTTGGTAAAAAAAAGTCCAAAATTGAAGACAAAGGTATTTAAGCACCGTAATTGTGCTTTACAGTAATATGACTGCTGTAAAGGTTATTTCGATAAAAAAAAATATCCAAAATTGAAGACAAAAGGTGTGGGCGAGGTTTATAAAAGTTAAAAGTTTTACGGTAATACAACTTTCGCAAAAATTATTTTGGTAAAAAAAATGTCCAAAATTGAAAAAAAAATGTGTGGACGAGGTTCATGAAAGTTAAAAGTGTTTTTTTTAAATAGACGAGAATTAAGGTATATATGTGATAATTTCTCAAAAAAAAACAAAACAAAAACAAAAAATTTCAATAAAACATTACTTAAAAGAAAAATTTCGATAATTTTTTTTGAGATCCAATTGAATTTCAAGATAAAAAAAACATGGTGCTTCCTTCCTCTCGGCTGTTAGACCCTAATGCTTCTATTTGCCATTTAATCTCTTTATGCTCTCTATTGCTTATTGGATTAATGAAATTGCTACAAGTTAATAATTTTAAGAAGTTCCGCAAAGTTTGAATGTTTATTTTCGTCGAATGTTGATATAGAGAAATTATATCTAACAATTTGGAGTTCTCTTAGTACTATGAGTTTTTAACTGAGAGAAAGAATGGACAATATGCTCCCGTGGGAGCATATAATCTTTTGACATTGGATATTATGTCATTATCAGTTACGAAAACAATGAAATTTTATCGCGGAAAGTTCGGACTTGGATATTGAAGTTCTTGTTGCCCCTTGAACCTCTAAATTGGTAAGAATTGTATAAGGCTAAAAAAAGAATTTTATAAGGCTAAAAAAAAGGAACTAATCCATGAAGTCTTTTGGCAATAGGAATATCCCTCTTATAGATATGAAAAAAAATAGATTTAAAGTCTTAATGTTTTGGCGATACATCATTTGAACCGTCTATTTTTTATTTTTTAATATTTATAAATATGTTTTAAATTAAATGAATGCAAACAAAAAGGAATGGACAGTTTAAATTGAACCTAGCTTCATATGGATGATACAAAATAATTTTGTGTTTTATTTTTTTTATTTTAAATTTATATTTATACGAATGTTAAGCTGTAAATTGATTTTTTATAAAGAAAAGCCAAATAAAGATAGTATAAAAATACTTCTAACAAAAAAAATGGTCGAAACACAAATAGAAATATTTTGTTATTTTTATTTAAAATATTATATTATTATGTTATTTAATTTCCCTATATAAAATTAATATTTATCTTGAGTTTCATACAAATCATGATACTTGTTCTGATGATTGGATATGGCCATGAATATGACCATTGGATATTGCTTGATCTAATCTGAGCCATTAAAAAGGTGCTTGTAAATTTCAAAGTCATCATGCTCCATTTTATACTGATACGAGGTCGCCAAACCATATATTTCTCGACCAACCGGGAAAATCTTATCGCGGACAAAGTTGAAATTCTAGATTGAAAGCAGTGGCATTTCGGGGAAGCACTTGCACCGAATAAGGATATTATCGTCATCTAGTAATATCCTGACTAAACCCTTGCCCTATATATGGGCATTGAGTCCTTCATGAAAGCTCTCTGTCCCTGGTTATCTTTCTCTCTCTTCGTTTTCTCTCTCTTCTAGCCAGGGTGGTTTCAGAACACCTTCAATATATCGCCCGCCATAAATCATGTTGGTGTACCAGGATCTGCTCACAGGTTACTTTCTCTCTCTAGATTTTTTCTCTTAGTACATGTTTCTCTCTCTCTAGATTCTTTCCTCACAGGTTACTTTCGCTCTTTAGATTCTCTCTTTCTACATGTTTCTCTCTCTAGATTCGTTCTCTTTCTACATGTTTCTTCCTTCTCTCTAATACATGATTTAATTTTTTTTTTTTCGCAAATCTTATTGGTATCTTTTGGTCTAATTTTTTTTTTTTTGTAAATCTTATTCGTATCTTTTGGTCTTTGGTCTTTAGAATTGGATTGATTTTGAGAAAGCAACAGATCTAGGGTTTACTGGAACTTACGTTTGTTTGTTTACGTAGTACCTTCTCATGGATCGGGAATGTCTGGATTTTATGTTTTTGGGATTTTCTGGATTTTATGTTTTTTAGTTGGGGATTTCAAGGAAATCCATGTTGTATTAGGGTTTTTATTGTTATGCTTTTATTTTTGCGGTTGATGTTGAATACGCTGCTTTTTTATGAGACGCACGCTCTCTCTCTCTCTCTCTCTTTTTTCCCTTAATTTTATGTCTCGCACTCGTTCATGAATTTATTTCTTATTGCCCATAATGTTTCGGGAATTGTTGCCTTTGCAGCTTTTTTGCAGATAGACTAAAGTGCTATATATGCTTTGTTGCTACATAGCATGTGGAATGTTGTTTGTTATGGAGCATGCTGAATATTGTTTCCACTTCTAATCTGAGTCTCTCGCCTTAGAAAATTTGGGTTTTTTTCTTCTTCTTACGGAGGAGCTTGATTGCGATCCCAAATATGAATTGAATTGTTTACCTTTGATTCACATTCTTGTATTTGCTAGATGGGGTTTACGATATTGAACTATGATTGAACTCATATAGGATGCAACTTGTATAGGTATAATTTATTTTTTCTACTGTTTTCGTTTTCAAATTGCTAGTGTTTTGTATTGTTAGAGTTTTGTACGTCCTCATACTACCATGTTTGTAACTGCTGATCATTCTTGGTAAGCTGACTTGTCTCATATGATGAGATCCAATTTTGCTAGAGACGGTGACCGCTATGTATTAGGTTCTACTGAGATGTGAGGGTTAGATGTAGTTGTTAGGAAATTCTGTTCTGTTTTGAGTGGAATTCCCTCTATTATAGCACGATGTGGTGTTGTTTGCTGCGAGCTGAATTTTTAGGAGTGCAAATAGAAGAAGAAAATTTTTTCCTTTTCTTCTTTTATCTTTTTAGATTTGTTGTATAGCTTCTGGTTTTCTCGCCCTGCAAGGGAAGGGTAAAAGTTGAGTCCAGATTAGCTTTGTGCAATTTTAGAGGACATATTGAGTTAACAAAGAACACACGTAATGAGCCCCAATGAATAGTTGATTTCCATCGATAGCATCAGCTCAATTATGTCTCTAAAGGACAGCCAACTATTTATTAATCGTCATTTTTTTAATTGGTGTCTAATTTCCAAGTCTAAAGGAGGGCCAAACATGTCAAAGATACAGAACTATAAGGCTGGAGTCCAAGATAGAGTGTATATTTGTATTAATAGCATTTGTATAGGGTTCGGTACTTGTCAAGTCTTATACAAATTTGGGATTGACAAATGCTTTGGTTTCTGAGTTTTTGGGAAGATCTTAATTCTTGATTGGTAGCTGCTACATGCTTTGTACCAAAAAGATCATCAATATTATCTGTTATCTTTGATGTCGTCCATCCACCTTTCTTTCTGTGGTAATAGTGTTTCTATTTTTGGGCATTCTCTTTCTTCGTTTTTATAGCTGTGTGAATTCTTAAGGAAGAAAAAAAAAGTGATTTTTAATCAATTCTTGGCATACACATATTTCATATTTTGTGATACACATGAGGTTTTTGAGTTTTATTGACATGTTGCTTCCTCTCTATGAATGCAGGAGATGAGCTTCTGTCTGACTCTTTTCCATACAAGGAAATGGAGAATGGGATGCTCTGGGAAGTTGACGGAAAGGTTGGTGAATTTCTGTATTGCTTTGTTACATTCCTTTCTAATTCCAGCTGCCTTTTTTTTTCTAACACCATAATTGAAGTATCTATCTGAAAAGTTAGCCTGGTGTTCTGCTTTTTTCTTCAATTATTCAATAGTGGGTTGTTCAAGGAGCAATTGATGTTGACATTGGTGCAAACCCATCTGCTGAGGGCGCCGATGAAGGTGAAGGTGTTGATGACCAGGCTGTGAAAGTAGTTGATATTGTTGACACATTTAGGCTTCAGGTTGGCTCTCTCTCTTCTCCCCCTCCCCTAAAAGATAAAAAAAATCCCTTTCCAATTTATCATCATCATCTCTATATTTTTTATTTTTTGTGTTGAGATCAGAGTGATAACATGTACTGGTACATGCAATTGTTTCAGGAGCAACCTCCTTTTGACAAGAAAATGTTTGTCAGTTACATCAAGAAGTACATTAAGTTGCTCACCCCCAAGTTGGATACGGAGCAACAAGAAATTTTTAAGAAGCATATTGAGGGGGCAACTAAATATTTACTGGGAAAATTGAAGGACCTTCAATTGTAAGTATTTGAAGAATCTTCTTTTTGTATTTGTTTGTTCTTTTTGGATTTGTTTGTAGGATTTGTAGGACCATATTTGTTTGTAGGACATTAGGAGTATTTTCTTTTTGCATTTGTTTGTAGGACTGTATTTGTTTGTAGGACATTTGGAGTATTTGGAGAATCTTAGTCTTCTTTTTGTATTTGTTTGTAGGATTTGTAAGACAATTGTAAGTATTTGGAGAATCTTTTTTTTGTATTTGTTCGTGGGATATGTAGGACAGTATTTGTTTGTAGGAAGTATTTTCTTTTTGTATTTGTTTGTAGGACTGCATTTGTTTGTAGGACATTTGGAGTATATTCTTTTTGTATTTGTTTGTAGGATTGTATTTGTTTGTAGGACATTAGGAATATTTGGAGAATCTTAGTCTTCTTTTTGTATTTGTTTGTTTGTATTTGTTTGTAAGACATTAGGAGTATTTGGAGAATCTTGGTCTTCTTTTTGTATTTGTTTGTAGGATTTGTAGGGCTGTATTTGTTTGTAGGACATTAGGAGTATTTTCTTTTTGTATTTGTTTGTAGGACTGTATTTGTTTATAGTAGGACATTAGGAGTATTTGGAGAATCTTAGTATTATTTGTTTGTAGGACTTTATTTGTTCCTAGGACATTAGGATTGTGTGAAATTCAAATAGGCCAGGCTTATACTCAAGCACACTAGTTCTTTCTCATAGATTGATCGTTACATGACTAATTCATTACTAAGGACTAATTACACCACCGCTTTGTCTTCTTTAGTGTTTGGCCTGTAGCTTTCTTGCGTGACTCCTAGATCGACCCTAGCACATTAGGATTGTGCACCTGACCCCAGGACATTAGGATTGTGCACCTGATATAACCTGATATAACCGGCCCTTCTTTTTGTATATGTCCCTAGGACATTAGGATTGTGCACCTGATATAACCGGCCCTTCTTTTTGTATTTGTCCCTAGGAATTGTCCCTAGGACATTAGGATTGTGCACCTGATATAACTGGCCCTTCTTTTTGTTTTTGTCCCTAGGACATTAGGATTGTGCACCTGATATAACCGGCACTTCTTTTTGTATTTGTCCCTAGGACATTAGGATTGTGCACCCGGCACTTCTTTTTGTATTTGTCCCTAGGACATTAAGATTGTGCACCTGATATAACCGGCACTTCTTTTCTTTTTGTATTTGTTTGTAGGACTGTATTTGTCCCTAGGACATTAGGATTGTGAACCTGATATGACCGGCACTTTTATCTAGAAAATCCCCCCATGCTTTACTTATACTTTTATCTAGAAAATCCCCCCATACTTCACTTATATATGGAGTTCCTCTCCTACCGCTTCCTAATGGAGTGGTTTTTTCAGTGTTTCGCATTTGTCGTAGCCTCTATTTGCTGAGTAAAAATATCAAATTATGGACAAGGTCATGGATTTCTCTGACCACTAAAGAAGTTCCTAATGGAGTGGTTTTTTCAGTGTTTTGCATTTGTCGTAGCCTTTATTTGCTGAGTTAAAATATCAAGAGTTAAAATATCAAATTATGGACAAGGTCATGGATTTCTCTGACCACTAAAGAAGTTTTTGGGCATGAGTAAAAAGAGGAAGAACTAGAGAATCTGACATTGAGTATATTTTTCTAGTTATGCCCTTAACTTAGGGCTAGATATCAGGAAATATTACTCGACCTACGCTTTTGTTATTGCCATCCATAGTCAGTAGTTGGGGAGGCATATTGGCTTAGATATCAGGAAATACTATTGGACCTATGCTTTTGTTATTGCCATCCATAGTCTGGGGGGGGGGGCATATTGGCTTGGATATCAGGAAATACTAGTGGGCCTATGCTTTTGTTATGGAGGGCATATTGCCATTCAATGGCCTTTAGATCTTCATTTTTTTTGATTGGTTGATTGGTGATCTATACCCTACGTATGTTTGTAATCAAAATATTGCTTGTTTTTTCTTATATAACTGTTGTTCCACTTATATTTGCGTTTTCATATGCCTTTACTGCCTCAAAGGTATATTGTGTTGTATATTATTCACTTGGCAATCATATGAACATCTGACGTAATTGCCCTTTGGACCCTAACCTGGTCCTTCACCAAAGTAAGCCTAAAGTTTAAACATATGACATAATTGCCCTTTGGACCCAAACCTGGTCCTTCACCAAAGTATCCCTCCTCGATGCCCATCTCTCCTAGACCAAGAGTTGTTTCGTCTCCCCTCTTCCTGAGATAGTGTGGTGGTGACAGTAAGGTAGTCGATGGTTGCATATGTACTTAAGCTGGTTGTATATGTACTTAAGCTTGGAGATGAGCTTAGTTTAGTCATTTTGTATACAATTGTTCTATTTCCATTTTATGATGTCCTAAGTCTTCTAATTGTTGATTCAGTGAAATATATTTGGGTTGTGAAATACAGTGGACTTTACTAAAAAAAACTCTTCTAGTTGATTGGGTTGTGAAGTGCAGTGGATTTTAAAAAAAACTCTTCTAATTGTTGATTGGGTTGTGAAATACAGTGGACTTTACTAAAAAAATCCTTTTAATTCTTGATTCAAGACTGGTGCCATTTTGTGAAATGTGTTTATATTCCTTATGAATCATAATATTTTCATTACTGATGAATCATAATATTTTCTCATGATGGTTCCACAGTTTCGTTGGAGAGAGCATGCACGATGATTCTAGCCTTGTATTTGCATACTATAAGGAAGGTGCAACTGATCCTACATTCTTGTATTTTGCTTACGGATTGAAGGAGGTCAAGTGTTAATGATGAGGGGAGATAATTTATATTTTTCTTCCTTTTTTTTTAAAGGTTTTTTTAGAGAGGTAGCAGTTTGGTTTTCGATTCCTTTGTGATGTTTATGGGTTTGGTTTTTGATTCCTTTGTGATGTTTATGAGTTTGATATTTATCTGAGACGAATAAGACGGGACACCTTATGCTTTGTCTATGTAGTTATGCTTGTCTATGTAGTTTATGAGTTTATGAGTTTATGCGTGTTTTTCTATGTAGTTTATGAGTTTATGCGTCTATGTTTTTCTTTCCTGTCACAAATTTGGGATAATTTGGGATTCATTATATTGTGTTTTAGTGATTATGAGCTATGAGCGGGAGAAAATCTCTCGAAATGAATGATTTTGTCTAATGTCAATATGGGATTCATTATATTGTGTTTAAGTGATTATGATCTATGAGCAAGAGAAAATATCTTGAAATGATTGATCTTGTCTTTGCTAGAATGATGTCAATTTGGGATTGATTATATTGTGTTTTAGTGATTATGAGCAAGAGAAAATCTCGTCTTTTGCTAGCATGATATCAATGATCTATACTCCAAATAATTTCAAAGAGAGAAATAACAGTTATAATTCCAAAGAGAGAAATAACAGTATGTGGAGTGCCGAAAGTAATGTGTTTTAGTGATTATTTTCAAGAGAAAATCTCTTGAAATGAATGATCTTGTCTTTGCTAGCATGATGTCAATTTGGGATTCAGTATATTGTGTTTTAGTGATTATGATCTATGAGCCAGAGAAAATCTTTTGAAATGAATGATCATTCTTTGCTAGAATGATGTCAATTTGGGATTCATTATATTATGTTTTAGTGATTATGAGCAAGAGAAAATCTCTTGAAATGAATGATCTTGTCTTTGCTAGCTAGCATGATAGCAATGATCTATACTCCAAATAATTCCAAAGAGAGAAATAATAGTATGTGGAGTGCCGAAAGTATTGTGTTTTAGTGATTATGAGCAAGAGAAAATCTCTTGAAATGAATGATCTGGTCTTTGCTAGCATGATATCAATGATCTATACTCCAAATAATTCCAAAAGAGAGAAATAACAGTATGTGGAGTGCCTAGCATTGATATCAATGTTCTATACCCCGAATAATTCCAAAGAGAGAAATAACAGTATGTGGAATGTCTAGCATGATATCAATGATCTATACGCCAAATAATTCCAAAGAGAGAAATAACAGAATGTGGAGTGCCTAGCATGATATCAATGATCTAAACGCCAAATAATTCCAAAGAGAGAAATAACGGTGTGGAGTGCCAAAAGGATTTGTTCTTCTCTTTGATTTGGTTTTCGTCTGGGAGAGAATTTAGATGGTATTTGGATAATTTTGATATGTTTGGGGTGATGAAAATAAGGTTACGGTAACAGGTCTCTTAATTCGTCTGATTGATTGGGTGGGTGGATGAATATTTCTTAAGGATGGTCTAGAGTTTAATTTGTGATTTAAGATTAATATGTTCGTTTTATTAAATTTGGAGTGTTGGGTCATTGCGGGTTAAATCTTAAAAACAAAATAACAGATGCGTTTTGATAACCTTGGAACCATATATTATATGTTTTGTAGTAGTATTCTCTATTAAGAAACTATTTATCTTTTGTACATTGAGGTTATAATTTTTTTTTTTTTAAATTAGAAAAATGGTTGGTTGTAAGAGTGTCATTGAATAGATCCAAATTCTCGGATTTATGATTTATCTTAAGTCATCCAATTTGACATTTAATGAGTAAAAATGATTGTGATTTCTATGTGTAAAAGATTAATATCTCTCGGTTGACAATCTTTTTTATAATACATGATATTATATTTATGTTTACTTTTTATACATAAAGGGTTGGGTTGGGTTGGGTTGATCTTGATGCAGACCTAACTCGTTAGGGTCCAGGCTCACCCAAGTCAGGTCTACTTGACCCATCGGGTCCATTGTTTAGTTCCATACCCCGATAGTACTTGTCTGGAACATGTAGTGACCTGATCCATTTCCACTCCCTAATGCTGACGGGATGGCTTGAAAGCATGTTCTCACTGGCCTGTGTAGAGAATGTGCAATGCGGTTAAAAGTTTAGAATGGTTTTTGAGGCTCGGGCATTGCAATGAGCCTGTGCTTAATTGAGAAAGGCTTGTGGGTTAGGGGTAGAGGAAAGAGAAACTAATAGGATTGACCTTGTGCAGGTCTAGATCGGAAGAAACAGAGACTAGGATTGATTGTGTAGTGAGGAAGAAACATTAGAAATAGAAAAAGAGGGCAAGCTTTCTATGCTTTCTCTAGTAAGCTTTCTCTACTACATAAAACATATATGTTTCTCTCTATCCACCTGTACAGTTAAGCTACCGCATAAAACATATATATTTCTCCTTATCCGCCTGTTTCTCCCTATCCGCCTGTCCAGTTAAGCTACCACATGAAACATATATGTTTCTCCCTATCCGCCTGTCCAGTTAAGTCGCCCCCAATCACAATGTCACGTATTTACACTTTTTTTTTTTTTACAACCTATATCGACATCAAAATTTTTGGCGTAAAAAATATAAAAAAAAATATTCTCAATAAAACAACCCAAATACCTTTGAAAGTTCTGCCTGTCCAGTTAAGCTGCCCCAATTGTCATGTATTTACAATTTTTTTTTTTTATTTACAACCTATATTGACATCAAATTTTTGGCAAAAACAATATACTCCCAATAAAATAACCCAAATACCTTTGAAAGTTTTATGAGATATTTTGATCATTATAGTTATGCCCCATTGAGATGATGGTATGTACCACATTTCATATTCATAGCTAAAAATTAAGGGATTGTATCATAATTACCTATAACCATACTTGGATGTCTAACAAAATTCAAATTTTTTTTTTTTGAACTTTGAGCGTGGTCAATACAATAAATGTAGCCACTCAATTTCACATCCAATGGTCAAGATTAATTGAGACCTTTTGTGTCAAAGATAAATGGTCTTATTGTACATTTTTTTCAAAAATTAAATATTATGAAGTATCAAATTTAAATCAGTCAGTGCCTCACTTAATTTGAATTGGACGGCTGGATACACTTGATTTGAATTGGACGGCTGGATGAAGGGGGGAGTATATAGATATACGAAGTGTCAATTGTCCGTATGCAGAAAGAAAAGAATTAGTAAGATTCGACTTTGTGCAGAGAGAGAGAGAGGGGGGTTGATTTCTAGGTTAATGAGAAAAAGGAACTTATTTGTTTCTTGGGAGAAAGAGAACGGGTTTTAAAAGTAATATAATACATAAGTAACGAGTGGGGGCTCTACTTAACGATATCTTTTTCAAGTTCCTTAATAGATTTTTTGTCCTTTAGAATGTCCCGTAAAACAGATAAACTCGGGCCGGGCCTAAGCCGAGGCCTTCTAGCTTGGTCTGTGCATCTAGGGTCCTGGGGTGGCCGAAGCCATGCTAGGACAATCTTCACTCAATTAGCTGACAAAACGTGGATGGGATTGGGTTTAAAGATAAAGAATTATCTATTAAAAGACCATTTATTTTTTATACACGGTGGTTACAACTCTTTCCACTTAAATGTCAAATTGGATGGATTGAAGGTGAATCACAAAGTCCAAGAATTTGTTTTTTTTGAATTCTGTGTCTATTTAGTGACTCTTACAATCCTCTTACAAGAATGATTATAACCCCATGTACAAAAAATAAATGATTTTTTTGTAGACAATCCTTAAAGATAAATAGCAAAATAGTAGCTTTGCATCAACTAATACCGTCACTCTTACAACCACTCTTACACGAATGATTGTGATCCCATATACAAAAGATAAATGATATCTTTATAGACAATCCCTAAAGATAATGGGCAAAATAGCTGCTTTCCATCAACTAATACCAAACTTTCTTTGCAACTTCGTAAAAATTATAAGGGATTGTATATTATGAGATTATTTATATTTGTAACAAGGAGGTCACAATATAAATGGGTCACAATTGCTCTTAATCATTAGATGTCAAATTAGATGACTAGAAGTAAGTCACAAAAATTTGAGATTTTTTTTTCTTCTAAACTTTGTTTAATGAATGACCCACTCATGACTGCCCCGATTTAAAATTTGACGAAGAATAGTGGTTGTGCCGTCCTTGTATTAGAAGTAAATAGTCTCTTTGAGTACTTTTTCAAATCGTAATTTTTTACTAGGCATGTAGTTCCCCACACTTTAAATTTGCAAGTTACATTACATGATTGGCAGGCAAGGCAATTTATTTTTGGAGACACCACACTCCAAACTTATACAATTTATAAGGCTAAAACACAACCATCTCCAGAGTTCGAAGTTTGAACATGGAAGTACTTGAAACTATCAGTGCTTATGCTTGGGCTTCTTCACGATCATGACGGTGCAGTGAGCGTGGTGAGAACAGTAGTCGCTTACACTGCCCAGCACCGCCCTGATATTTCAGAAATTAAAAACATGGGGTTAAAATCCACCAAGTAACAGAGCATGTGTTATGCCTTTGTGTGTGTGTGGGTCGCCTTCATGAATCTTGTTTCTCCATTAAGAAGCAAGCTAATTACATCCATTAAATATGACAAAGTAAGAATCATGTTTACGTACCTTTTAATGGCTCCATAACCATGGCTACCCACTGCCAACATGGTTGCTTGGTGTTTCTCGACAGCCTCACAGAGAACATTCCTTGCATCACCTTCCACCACCTCAGTTGTAAAGTCATTTACCTGTCACGATTTCCAATGGTTTAGAGACCAAAAACTCCATTTCGCAACTAAGCATTGAATAATAGCTGATTTTTTTTAAAAAAAGGAAAAAAGATTCATCCCAGGTTGCAAAATTATCATGCCACTAATGCCTGAACCTTTTTTATAAGCTTTTGCTGAGGATTCAAAAATTTCAACAGAACAAAGATTAATATATATTGGTTTCGAGATAATTAGAACCAGGCTATAGAAATGAAATTGTTGGGTGATTTTACATACACCCTGAGTTTTACAGGATGGGTACCTTCCCGAAACACAATACTATCATGATTTAATGAAGGATTCCTAATTGAGAGACAATGGTAGGAAATTTTATCTGCCCAAAATTTGAAACCACACTTGATTGAAAAAAGGCCAAGATCGTTGATGAATAATTCCATGGTATCTTGCATGTTGTTCAAACTTCCTAAAAATATAATATACTAACCCCGAAACCACATCCTTATATCTTTACAGATCTTTGAAATTAAGCAATCCTATTATGATGAGCAAGGAAAAAGTATCATACCTTAATGATGTTTTTTAGGATTTGAATGAGTGTATACATGCACACCTTAGCCATAGCATCATTATAAATAACCAAGCAAAGTTATCTTACTTCAGTATAAAACGCGGACGAACCCCATAAATCATAATGAACGACATGAAAATTCAACAGTACTGTGCAGGGAAACAAATACAAGAACTAACAGTTTTCCTAAGCATCCAAAGGCAAAGATGCAATCTTTAAAATTTCATAAAGTACCACAAGAAGATTCGGAAAGGTCCATAAGATAGGCTAAAGTCTAAACATAACATAATTTATGGACAATCCAAATCACTGCCCCAATTGGAAGGTCCTAAATGTAGCAAGCATCATGAACAAATAAGAGAAGGTAAAATTAATGAACTAATTGTCTAATGAAAACCATTGTGAAACTAGGAACATTGTAAAGATTCAGGAATTGAAGCATGATGTCAATAGAACAACTAAATATTGAAAAGAATAACAGATCTTGCATTATTTATCAATTGGAACGAAGATCAATTGAATTAGACTGAAAAGTCTAAAGACCAAACAAATGATCTCCACATACATTAAATATTTTCTACTAGGACACCACTTAATAGTTACCAATGCCCAAAAGGATAGGAATTCAACGATTTAATTGCATAATTGTTGTGAACATCACCAATTAACAGTTTCGGCAAGGAAGGTCACGGCTTCGAAAGCTTAAAGTTTGCCCCAAAACCCTAAACAAGCTGACCTACCCTTTTGTAGGAATCGGGATCGGGCAGGCTTGACTGGTCAGTCATCGATAATTGCCACACCATTTCCCAAGTTTAATTCGGACAGCCGAATTATCCGATAGAAAATTCATAATAAATTTTGCTAATAAATTCCTTTTCTCTACATTTAAACTGTCATCCATTAATTTCTTAATAAAACATAGACTAATTTTTCTTATTGGAATTGATAGAGATGATACAGAGACCCTCACAGATTTGGCCTTGCAAATATCAGATGCTCGTTGCACAATCCTCTCAGCAGACTTCTTTAGACCAGCCTCCACAAGTGGCAAAACCTCAATTGCTCCTACCACTCGACCATTCAATATCAATACAAACAAAGAAAACCAACCGTACAAAATCAAAACAAAGGAAAACCAAAAAAATGATTTGGTGCACTCTCGTATATGAAGTGCTTGGAATAAAAAATTGAAAGAAAAATTATGGGGTGCTGCTAAAATCTCAAAACAAACACACACAGTTTCTCTCTCTCTCACACACACACATGAGCATCCAGATCTATTGAATAGGTTTTTGGATACTAAAAACTTAATACTACTTAAAAAATAATAATCTTAGCACTAGGAAATCAGAAAAGCCAGAAACAAGTCTTCTTGTTCTTTGAAATAATGACCCTGAATAATTGATCCAGAAATGAAACCTCCTCCTATCAGATCACCCTGAATAATCGATCCAGAATCAGATATTTCCTCTTTTCTCTCTGTCCGAAGTTCTTAAACCAGAATTTCCACTCACCCAATATATAGAAAAAGAGAGTAAAAAACAGCAGAAAGAAACCACCAATTTCAAATGGGTTTTTTTTCCAGAAAAATCATACACCATGAGTCATCACAAAAGAAGAAACTTGGATGATTTCTTTTGGGGGAAACGAGGAATACCAGGTCCTGGCATGGCAAGATATGAAGTTACAGGGGGCTTTGCATGAACAATTACAAGCTTGAAGGGGGAATTTCCAGCAAGGGGACACATTATATGATCCAGTGTCCATTCCAATGCGTGAAAACTCTCTGGGCTCTCATCTAATCCCACCACCAAAACCGATTTGGCACAAGCTTCACTCTCCATTATTCCCTTTCTCTCTCTATACTTCTCTCAAGAGCTTAGCCTTTCTCTCTCTCACACCCCTCCTCTTTCTGAAGTTACTATAGTGGTGGTCCGCTCTATCTCGACTGTGACGGTGTTTTCTCTCTCTACCGTTTTGTAGTCATTAAGAAGAATGTAGACGGCACGATGCCCTCTCTCTCGAGAATCCAAACAGTCTTCTCGACCTTTCTCTTTCTCTCTCTACCTTTCTCTCTCTGCAGCCCTCTCTACGTTCCTCTCGGCTGTGATGAAGAAAATGTAGGCGGCACGAGTCATTCGGATTTCGGACTGGCAACAAACACGCCACCAATTTTCTTAAGGCTGTTCTTGTTTTTTTTTCAGTAATTAAGTGAAGTGGGGAAATCAGGTTTTAAATGGATCGGTAAGTTACATTTTGAAGGGTGTCAACGGTAGAAATGGATACCACGCTGTGGAGATATCACCGCGACTCAGAGCTCTTCTTTTTAGTATGTATAGATTTTTTTATGCTATTTTTTCATACATAGAAAGATGTTATTTTTAAGGGTGCGGTTTGTATAGAGCCGAGACTCTAAAAACAATCAAAGTAAAAGCACACCTTCAAATAGTATTGAGAAATATAGTTTTAATACTGAAAATATTTGTGATAGCCTTAAAATATATTTTTATCTTTAGTTATAAAATTTAAAGCTTTAAAAATAGTGTAGATCACGCAGATCTATGACAACTTGAAAATCTTTAAAATTGATAATCCAAAAATATGTTACAAGATGTATTATTTCAAAAACTTGAAATCCATTTTTTTCCTCATGTCTATGCATCTAGATGTCGAGTTGATCGATTTCACGATATTTGGGCCTCAAAACAACCTCTTCTAGTAAAATTTTTGAGGTGGGCTCTAATTTGATTGTTTAAAACCTCAATTTTATATAAACTTCTTCTTTGTTTTAAAACCTAATTATTGTCGATTCGGATCGCTAATTCGGGATGCACAATTAGTCAAAGACCAAACTAGTTTTGAAATTATATGGGTCCCATACTGCTTCCCCTCTAAAACCTTCCTTTCTTTTCTTTTTTGTTTTTTATTTGAGCTTATCTAATGTTGTCCTTGGTCTCCCTAAGGCCCCACTGCCATTTTAGTTTCTTTTTTTTTATTTCATTTACTTTTAACTTTTTTGGATCACCAATCTGGATCCGAGAATGATCTAGAGCACCTATCCAATAGATCTAGATTGGAATTGGGGGTGGATTATCCGTCCCAACGATATGTCTTTTGAACACAGACTGAGATTATCAATTTGAGGGTTTTCTAATATCAGACAATTTTCTCTGATGTGTTTTTGAGGTGTCGCTTACTTGAATAGAATACAGTATACGATTGACACCCAATATAAACTTTTTCCTTCTTAAAATTCAAAAAAAGGAAAAAATTTACATATGGTGTCAACTTTAAATTATTGACAATTTAAAGTAAGGTGAACTTTAGAAATCCTCTAGAAGAGATTGTTTCGATATTCGAAAACCCTCTATTTGATTATCCAACCCTGCGATGTAGGGATATGAAAAAAAAAAGAAAAGAATTAGTCTTGAAAATAGTATACATATTAATATTGTAGTAAGTTATCTCGACTGTTTATTTGCAATATTTTAAATGTTTATATATCTGCATGATTTATATCGTATTTGAAATTTTACTTTATAACTACGGATTAGAATATATTTTCATACCATCATAAGTTTTCTTACATCGGAACTACATTCCCGCACAAAATTTAGAGGTGCCCCTTACTTCGATAGTAAAAGGGGCCTCACTCTTCTTTAAAATGTATCCAACTTTTCTCAGATTAATATAATGTTGTAACCTTACTTGAGAAGTTCATATAATGTTGTACTCTTAGTTGGATACTCAAGAGATGTGCCCCTTTTTGAAACTATATTAGAAACTTTGCCTAATCTATATCGCCCAACTAAAATGGATGGCATAGAGCATCATAACTTTACTTCTACAAACAATGTTGCAACCTTATATAAACCGCACCTTTCTCATAATGAGCAATACTTTTCCTATTTTTTCTTGCTTTAGGAATCCAAACTATGGTGCATAGGATTATACGAGAACCGTGCTACACCTGATATTATCGTTCAATAGAATGATGGACTTGCTTTGGTTCATTGGATGGCTAGAGCACATGACCATAGCTTCTCCATCCATATTTATCAATATCAGATTGGATCACCTTGGTCTGACGAGTTGGATTGCAAACTAATGTTTTGGCTAATTTAGTCGAAACCAAAAATCAAAGTTAGTAAAAATCAATCAAGATTAATATGTGACCATTTTTTGCCAGTCAGACCAACCAATATTGGTTGGTTAAACTGGTTATGCTAAGTTGGATAAATTGTTTGTAATACATGCTACATCTTTAAACTATTATTCTCATTTTTATTTCTTTTTGAAATCTAATCCAACTAGTTCAACCGATAGTTATACCGGTTTTCTCTCTATCAAATCCTGGTTTGATGACCTGATCAATTTTTATAATATATTTCCATGATAATATGCATTATTGTATATGCCCTCTTGGGTTTTTATTTCTTAATTACGTGTGATAAATAGTGAGAGGTACAGTACCCATGTTAAAATTTTATAGAGCACAATTGACTTTATAATCAATAGTGGAGACTTGATTCCCTATTATCAGTAATCATGTGCTTATGTTGACCATAGGGATTAATTACAATTTTCTAATATTAATTAGGTATTGGGGAATTCGAGAAATTAAGGAGTTATGGTTCTTAGAGGTGGGGCTCCATATTTTAGAAACGTTCATTGCAAGTTTCAATGTCGCTCTCATCAGGAGGTGTATGATGAATTTGAGCCACACATGTATTTATCATCAAACATTCCAATAATCAAAAGGAAAGAATATATATATGCAAGTTTTTGGTCAGTAGATGCCATGTTGGACACCACTTCTTGTCATGCGTCGACATTTAAGTATGGACTTGGTTTCTATGCGGCCAAGCCCGCATTTTGTAGAAATGCAGACCTATAAATAAATATATTTTTGAAATGGATTATCATGAATATGAAAAAATAAGTAAATTTTTAGAAATAGAAATAATACTTTTAGTAAGAAAACATTTGGACTGTTGGTTCTCATTTTTTTTTAGATGTAACACCTTCTTGTATCTATCTTTAAGACGGATGTTTTACACTTTTTGGACTGCATATGTAGTCGTACAGTCCAGCCCGCATGAAACAATTTTTCTTTAGATATATCAAAATTTGAGTGATTGTGTTGGATGATGTCATTGATCATTAATGCAGTATCGACACTTAAATGAGGGTGTTGTTATTTTTTGTTGTCCTTTTTTATAAAAAGGAAAAGTACAGTATATATTAATATTATTAGTTGTTAAAAGCATAATTAAATATTCAAACTATTGCTACCTCTCTTTTCAAGCAATTGTTGTTCATAAATTGGAAAGTATTATTATATATTAGTTAAAATATTTTATTTATAACAATAAACATAATGATGTATCTATTTACACATACTTTTTAGACCGACACACTAGACACTTATAGACATTGATCCATATAACACTACTGGCCATTTCAAGGTTTTTGGCACTTGAACCACATCTTTTGGGACAATAGGTGTGCCTTACTTTAATTGTTTACGCTTATGTACCTTACAAACTACAGCCATAAATAAATAATGTGCGTCAACTCTTTTTTTATTCTTGATTAATCATGATTTTGGTCTATTTTATGAAACTCGAAATCGGGTGTTGGATCTTCCATTGTATTGATCCAAGTCGATCAATGCGGGTGTCTTATATTGACATGTATCAATCACATCAATGATCCAACATAAAACAGAAACCATAAATAAAAAAAGAGTAGAAAATGCAGGAAAAAATATAAAAGTTGAGCTTGACTATTGTTTCATAAACAGAGAACCTGCATAAGATTCCTGTGAAAAAACTAGCTCTTGTTCATTGTTTCGTAAACAAATAACCTACAGAAGATTCGTTCCCTTCCGCAAAACACCCACTTAAGAGGACTTTCTCAAACTTTAATTCTAGGATCCACTTTATAATCACCATATATGAGTATGTTCAGAAGCGATTTTGGATTTTCAAGTTCTTTAATACTTTTGATTTACATAAGGTTGAAAGGTTAAAAAATGCACATGCAAACTTTGTTATAAAATACAATTTTGGTATCGGAAATTCTTAGGAAGGGTCCATTTTCATCTCTAATTATAAAAATTGTAATTCTAAAAATGATTCAAATCAAGTAGATCTATGAAAATCTTAAAAATGGACGGTCCAAATAATGTGTTGCAAGATGTACTATTTTTGAGATTTAAAATCTTTCTTTTCTCTATATCTATAAGTCTCAATTCAAGATGATCGATTAGATTGTTTTCCAACATTAAAACAGCCTTTTTCAAGGGATTTTTGAGGTGCACCTGAATCCTAACCGCCTTTGTTGAGATGAAAAATATAGCATCATGGATAATTTGGTAGGTGTAAATTTTTTTTGATAGAAATTCATAACTTTATTAATCAACGATTGAAAGAAATTACAGAATATGAGACGACAGTCTCAATTAAAGAGGTTCCTCTTTTGGCAAGGAAGTTTGCTAAAACATTGGCCTCACGGAAGGCATACACAAAGGAGAAAAGGAAAGGTCAAGACATATCCCAAATTTGTAACAAGATGGACCGAAGTTCCCAAGGTGGTTTTTGCTCCTTATTACATCACTTTACGACATTCAAAAAATCACCTTCCACCACACAATGAGACCCTAAATTCCTTGCCATAAAGAATTTTAAACCATAGAAGAGAGCCAATAATTCCGAACCATTTGCAGTTTTGTGTCCCAATGGGTCTGTATAAGAAAAGACAACAAATCCACTCCAATCCCTCACCATTCCTCCGAAGCCAGCAGGACCCGGATTTCCTAAAGAGCTCCCATCAAAATTAAGTTTAAAAACCTCAACGGTAAGGAGTATCTTTCTCCCTTGAGGCCTATACTTAAAAGATCTTAAATGGAAAAGATTTGTTAAATTTCTCCTAACGTCCACTTCAAGGATATCTTTGCCTTCTTTTGTGATTGAACATGAAAGCCAAATAGAATGTAAAATTTTATCGAAAATACTTTCCATAGGCAAACAAATCCCTTCAAACACTCTTCGATTTCTCTCATTCCAAACTTCCCAAAGAATCAGCCCTCTTGCAATTTGCCAAATTACCACACCAGTTTGTGGAAGCCAAGAAACTCCTAAATTCGAAATAATC